GCGTTCAACATAGGTTTAAGACTTGATGAGACTTTTCGACCCCTAGAACTTCTTCTAATTCTCTAGCAATTTAATTGTTATTTCTTTAACTCACTTTCCAGTTCTAGTTAGTTCTAGATATTTCTCCAGATCAATTGTTATTAGACTGTTGATGACTTATTTTACTTTTATGTGCAATCAACATCGAATCTAGATTCCGAACAGTCTTCTTCGAGAGATCCGGCCGAGGCCGAGATTCGTCCCATACTCGGAAATAAAATATAATTTGCTACAACAAGATGCTCCCACCGAGCGTGTCAAATTTATAACAATAAAGATTATTTCAAGTCCCACTGGGCGTGCCAAATTTGTAACAATGAATTTTGTAAAGAACATAAATTTTTGTACAAATTGATTTTATTTCGACCAAACGATATTCCGGGTGCAATCTCTATTTATCTCATTCGATTCTTCTCTTCGTGGACTTGGATTTGATTTTCAAACTTGGATTTGACAATTGGATCTCTTTTGGCTTGATCTTGATTTATTTTAACATTAATTTGGGGGACGAATGACTTACCCGTATTAAATATTAGTATTTGATTTGATTGCAGACTACTTCTTGATGATTTTCTTCTTTGATCCTTCTCGGAGAGGGACTTGGACTTGAACACCAATCATCAGCTTGAATGTCTTGGATTTTAATAAACACATTTGGATCTTCAAGAGAATTTTCAAGAATGCCTTTGGATATTTAAGAGAATTATTTGAGAACACATTTTGATCTTCAAGAGAATTAATATTGAGAACTCTTGAACTTGAGACTTAAATTATGAAGTGTGCTTTGTGGCTTCGAGGAGAGCCTTATTTATAGATGTTGAAGAGAGAGACTTGGAGAAGAAGACATCAATTTGATTGGTCTTTCATGATTTGATATAATTTCTTTCCTTATCTTAGATTTTTACTTAATTAATTAAATATTTTATTTATTTTGAATTTATGTCCAAAAATAACAAAGATATTATTAATAAATTATTAAATTGTTTATGTCTACAGTCCCTACACTGCTGCACTTTTT